GAAACCACCGAAACGACCGAAACGAAACGACCGAAACGAAACAACCGAAACGAAACGACCGAAACGAAACAACCGAAACGAAACGGCCGAAACGAAACGGCCGAAAATATAAAACACAGGAAAATTGAAAAATGCGGATACGGACGGACGGACGGACGGACGGAGAGGACAGGCGGATGGACGGGGGAGACGGGCGGATGGACGGGGGAAGAGGCGGATGGACGGGGGGGGGGACAGGCGGGTGGACGGGAGGGACGGCTTCATTTGACACGAAACTGATATTTAAAATCAAATCCGCGTTTTGTTGAAAGGGATATATTAGGATATATTATAAAAGACTATTATTAATCGTAATAAATTGTCCGCGAAAAGTTGATAAAATACACGTGGAAATGCGGGGTTTTTCAAACCTTCGTAACGCTTGATCGGATAAAACGCGGATATGCTGCAACTTTCATGCTTAATTTTCTCAGTCATCTGGGTATGTAGTAATCTAATTTTATGCAATGTAATGTGCTATTTTTTCAAGCGCTTTTCAATGCAGTTATCGGTTTAAATATAACTCAAATTCCCGTTAAGATATGACAATTGCCGTACGGCCTACTTTTACGCAAACGCAAATTACAACTGCAAATTTCATGCTTAATTTTCTCTGTTATCTGCGCATGTAGTAATACATACATACATACATACTTTATTGTGTTCCCTAAATAGGGATTTTCAACACTGATTTACAAAAAATAAATGTTGTTCTATTTACAAGTTTTAGAATCTAGAATTTAAATTAAGGTAAAAAGGTAAGACATTTGTATAAAGTTTAACAAGGTAAAATTATCTACTTATATATTTGTTCTAGCATGCTTCCCTTCAGTTCGTTTTTGAAAGTTTTTAGGGAGTCTAACTTTTTGTACTTTATGTCCAAATCATTCCAGAGTGTAACGCCTCTATAATGAAAGGACCTTTGACCTGCAGAAGTTTTGTACAATGGTATTTGCAGTGAGTCATGGCTACGTGTATCTCGTTGATGAATGTCAGAACGTTTTGTGAATAAATCGCTCAAATAATGTGGAACAAGTTCATTGACACATTTGTACATCATAATAGCCTCTCTTAGTAGTAATTGTTCCTTTACTGGGAGCCAGTTAAGTTCACGTAAGCCCGGCGAAATATGGTCGAACTTTCCAATATTTGTTATTATCCTGCATGCAAAATTTTGTACCAACTGTAGTTTCTTAATGTTGGTAGACGAAGTGTTTGACCAAACCGTTGAACAATAGAACATTTTGTTCATTACAAGTGCCGAGACGATGAGAGTTAAAGCTTCTTTATCGAAACATTTTTTGACTCGGTTTATTTGGCACAGGGAATTCATACATGAGGAAACCAGGTTGGTGATGTGCTGGTCATATGTCAAATAAGAGTCGATTGTCATTCCTAGATCTTTGGCAAAGGAGACGGGGGTAATAGTCTCGTTGAGGAAGTTGATGGTCATATCTACGGGAAGTTGTTGTAGGTTTTGCCGTGTGCCAATCAGCATGTATTTGGTCTTTCCCGGGTTAATAAGCAATTCATTTTCGGAACAACTGTTTGCAATCAAATACAAGTCTTCCTCAAGTTGTTGCTTTAAACAGTCCACGTTAGCCACAGTGAAAGATAGTAATATCTTGGAGTCGTCCACGTACGATTCAAGTTTACTATGGTGGACTGATGAGGGCAAATCGTTAGTATAAATACTAAAAAGTAAAGATGATAAAATTGCACCCTGTGGTACACCATAAGAAACAGGGAGAGGAGTAGACACAGTTGATCCAATTCTGACTGATTGAGTTCTTCCGGTCAAGTAACTCTCAAACCATTTTACAACGCTTGGAGAAGCCCCGACGTTGCTAAGGCCAATGTAAGGTGCCAATGTAAGGTGCTATTTATGCCAATGTAAGGTGCTATTTTTCAAGGGCTTTTCAATGCAGTTATAGGTTTAAATATAACTCAAATTCCCGTTAAGATATGACAATTGCCGTACGGACTACTTTTACGCAAACGCAAATTACAACTGCAAATTTCATCAGCACATTACATTGGCATAAAAAGTGAAAGTAGGCCGTACGGCAATTGTCATATCTCTTAACGGGAATTTTAGGTATATTTAAACCAATAACTGCATTGAAAAGCCCTTGAAAATATAACACATTACATTGCATAAAATTAGATTACTACATACCCAGATGACTGAGAAAATTAAGCATGAAAGTTGCAGCATATCCGCGTTTTATCCGATCAAGCGTTACGAAGGTTCGAAAAACCCCGCATTTCCACATGTATTTTATCAACTTTTCGCGGACAATTTATTACGATTAATAATAGTCTTTTATAATATATCCTAATATATCCCTTTCAACAAAACTCGGATTTGATTTTAAAATTGAGTTTCGTGTCAAATGAAGCCGTCCCCCCCCGTCCATCCGCCTGTCCCCTCCCCCGTCCATCCGCCTCTTCCCCCGTCCATCCGACTGTCCCCCCCCGTCCGTCCGTCCGTATCCGCATTTTTCAATTTTCCTGTAATTTACATTTTCGGCCGTTTCGTTTCGGTCGTTTCGTTTCGGTTGTTTCGTTTCGGTCGTTTCGTTTCGGTTGTTTCGTTTCGGTCGTTTCGTTTCGGTGGTTTCGGCCGTTTCGTTTCGGTCGTTTCGTTTCGACGTTTCGCCTTTTAGTACATGCCGGCGGCCACGCCGGAAGTCGGCTGACATTCTGGCACACTTTTTACCCTTGAGTGAACCTTCTGCTCTATATCTATTCTGTGGTTTCGCATCGATACCGCCGCGTAAGCGACAAAAATCGCACACTTCTACGAAAAATAGGCACGCTAGGCGTACATGTATCTGCGCAAAATGTTGACCGTATCCAGCCACCATGCAGCTGTTATTCAGTCGTCATGTTCCCTAGCCAGTGCGCTAATGAGAGACGTGCACC